CATGGGAAAATCCCATTGGAGGAAAATTCCATTTAGGGTTAGGGTTAGGTCACCATGAACTCGTAAAGGAAAATGGACATCGCCAACAAATTCGGAGTGCTTGGGTATGGTTAGGAGGGCACTTACTTCTCTAGGCTGCCCTATCTATGTTTCCTGGTAAAATGCATGGGAAAATCCCATTGGAGGAAAATTCCACTTAGGGTTAGGGTTAGGTCACCAGGAACTCAGAGAGGAAAATGGACATTGCCAACAAACTCGGAGTGCTTGGGTATGGTTAGGAGGGCACTTACTTTTCTAGGCTGCCTTATCTATGTTTCCTAGTAAAATACATGGGAAAATCCCATTGGAGGAAAATTCCATTTAGGGTTAGGGTTAGGTCACCATGAACTCGTAAAGGAAAATGGACATCGCCAACAAATACAGAGTGCTTGGGTATGGTTAGGAGGGCACTTACTTCTCTAGGCTGCCTTATCTATGTTTCCTGGTAAAATACATGGGAAAATCCCATTGGAGGAAAATTCCACTTAGGGTTAGGGTTAGGTCACCATGAACTCAGAGAGGAAAATGGACATCGCCAACAAATTTGGAGTGCACTTACTTCTCTAGGCTGCCCTATCTATGTTTGCTCGTAAAATACATGGGAAAATCGCATTGGAGGAAAATTCCACTTAGGGCAGTGATGGAGAACCTTTTAGTGACCGAGTGCCCAAACTGCAAACCAAAACCCACTTATGTATTGTTGGGTGCCGGGTGGGCGTGGCCTATTGGGTGGGCATGGCCCTTTGGGTGGGCGTGGCTGCAGTGGTAACAGCAGACTGTGTTGGAGTAAAAAGTTCAAATAATCAATTCAAACTTTGCGAGATCTTTTTTTTTCCTGCGAGAAGTTGAAATTGATGAGTGATTGAACCTTTTTTTTTCTTTTGCACACGGCGGCAGAGGCCTAAAGCGAAAAGGTTTTATAAAACCCAGCTGAAGGCCTAGGACTGGGGCCCAGAGAAAGGGCAGACGCACGGTGGACACCGTGGACACGGTATCCAAGCGATGGTGCCGGTATCGATTAGAGTTCGTCTCCTAAACCCTGGGTCTTGATCGTAAAAGTTAACCGGAGTATCGAGTTGTTAGTATGGTAAAACCAGATAAGAGTCTATTGACCGTTAAAGTCGTCGTAAAGATACTTTTGGTATAAACATACAATATCACGTGTAATACAAGTCTATATCTCATGTAATGTTAGAGTGCCCATTATATACTAAATGAAGGCCAAGCTTACAACACAGATTGTTAGGTTGCCAAATTTCTAACAACAGCCATGGCTCACAGAAATTAAGATTTCAGGCCTCCCTGTACAAATCTTTTTATTGTTTTATATTTGATATACTGTTACACTGTTATGTTTTTTAAAAACTGATCTCAGACTGAAAATAAATAATGATGGCTCAATTAAAAAAACAATGCCTTCATCAATAAACTTGTAAAATATGTATTTGCTTCAATATTTATAAATAGAAACATTGCAAAACAGAATAATAAATAACTAGCTGCATGCTTACAGAAGTGTTCTGCCTTCCTATTCTGCTTGAAAAACTGACACAATATTACTGTTAGGATAGAAATAGTGAAAAACTTACCACTCCATTAGAACTATTTACTCCATTCATATTAATTTTTGTTACAAATCTTACAAATGGAGGTGCTTCAGGATATTTAGGGCCACATTCTATTTTAAGGCTGTATATTCTGTTTTCATAAATAGTCTGTGGGGAGAAAAAATATTTCTGTCAAGGAATCCATAACTGAAGGACCATTGCATACAAGATCAATTTCAAATTAGCAAAATTATTTTTCTTTTCTTCCACCCTCCAAATGAACCTAATTTGCATGCACATTTCATAATATAGCAAAAAAGTGATAACTGCAGATGGACAAGTATATCTAAGAAAAAAAAATGCAAAGATGCACTGCCTTAACTCTTTTTTTTACTAATTATTTATCTGACATACACAACTCCATATGTTTCTCAATAAGTGGTGATCTTTTTATACATTAACAGGAGGTCAAAACATCTGGGCTTGCTATTGGAGGGAGAAAACCTACAATTTGGCATTCTACTAAGTCACTGCTTGGATGTAAATATTCTACTTGGCAAGCAGAAGGAATTTCATTTGTATTTATCCTTGTTTACTTTCATGGTCTGTAGTTTCTTCCTCCGAACTAAAAACCACTGTCTTAGAAGTTCTTTCCATTATTCAATATCTGATTTTGGAGGATATGGAGAACTTCAGGTAGACGATGGAAAACTGTATGATACATAAGCAAAGTGCCTTCTGCTAACCTTGGGGTGTTGGGGCCATATTCCAATTAAATAACTACGTTTATATTGGGCTTCTCCAAGAATTATAAAAGGCAAAATATGTATAAAATATCAGATGCATTCTAGGATCCTCAGTATGAATTACTGACTTGCAAATTCCATTTGTTATCAGTAGGCTCTTATTTTTCTCCAAAGAACATTCTGGCTTATAAATGGATATATTACAAGTGCAATATGACAGTAATTACGATATAATTTGGATTGCAACTTATTTTTATGAAAAATACTTTAATACTTTCTCAAAACTAGTAACCACATAAAGATCAACAGTAGCCCCAAACATAGAAAAAATTAAGTACACCAAATAAACATACATGACAATATTTTAAAAATGTGACATTGTTACCAGACTGAACTCATTTAAATCAATTGGTTGTGATTGACAGCTGGATTCTTTTATCCTCTTTATGCCATGCTGATCTGGGACCTGATGATGACTAATAAATTAAGACTGCACCACAAAAGAAAGTCCATTTAAAATGTATTGGAAAAGTAAGTCAAATGATCCATACATTTTATAATGTAAGAATCAAGTTCATGAAATAATTATAGATAAAAATCAATATAATTGTCTAAAAATATAATAAACATAATAACTATAATAAAGAAATTAAGTCATAATCAGCAGCAAAAAAGCATATTAATCCAGATCAAGTGGAAATGTGTTAACTTCCAAAATGTCCTAGGGTAAGCATACTTATGCACCTAAATAATTAATTCAACATATAGAGAAATACTTTATCTACCATTCCATATTATAAACTTTGCTTCAAGATGATTTCAACTCATAGTGTTTTTATGACATGTCTATGCATTCCTGAGGAAAATTCAAAATATTTAACATGGTTTTCAGCTTCAGAGAAAAATTAGAAAAGTTAAGAAAAGTTTTGAAGAGAACTATTTTTTTTCTTGCTTCAACTAGGAAAATTCAAAAAACAAAAATGCCCTGTCTCTCCATCTTGAAAGATTTACCAAAGATGTAGCATTACAAGGAATTTGACAGCATAGGCTAGTATTCAGGAAAAAGTTCCCCCTTTGATTATATCAGCATTTTTAAAAGCATCAGTATCTCTTATTACCATGGATGTGACATGTTCTCATATTCTGATTGGTTGCTCTGTTTGTGATGTTATTCTAGAATTTCATTTGGTTGCTACTTCTTTGGATGTTCATTGGCTGGTTTTACATCCTGGGGCTTTCCAATTTAAACTAATGTTATTTTAACCGTTGTTAGATCAAAACTGTATGTCTTGGAGTCTATACTTCCTAATTAGATTTCTGATATCTTGATTCTCCAAACAATAAATCAAGTCATAAGTCTGTCCATTCCAGTCTGACATTCTACAAATGGCCCTTGAGCTTGTTTGGAAGTTCTAGCAGTGTAGCACATTGTATGTGTATGCCCTGAGTTGCTGTCTGGGATAGTCATTCTCTTTCATGGAGAAGCAGTTTTGGGAGAGAGAGACACACACACATGGAGCACTGAAGGAAAAAGACATATACCCTAGTGAGCCAGATCAAACCTGGTGATCAATGGGGTGGCCAAAGTCATAGTCAGGTTTCCTCAAATCTATGTTTTGATATAAAAATCACCTTAAACTGAAACTAAACTGAACAGTTCTTCTATCAGTTCATCACAAAACCTTGTTTCTATATAGTTATGTTATAGGTAACCATATTTAAGCAACATCAATGAAAGTTATTCCTGACATTATTTATATCTGTTAGGTATCATGTTCTATATTCCTTCATGGTCAGATGGGGGTGCTATAAGCAAATATAAAACTCAGTTTTAAGTTGCCAATTTTAATTATGAGGAATTGGGAAGTGTACTATTTTTACTCCTTCAGATTTCAAAGTAACATGGAATATGATTTAATGCTTAACTTTCCTTCAGTTGTTCATAACTTTTATTTTTGCAGTTTTCCATCTTTCATCTGAAGAGATTGAGAAATCCTACATGAATTCTTTAAAGCAATTTTGTTCAGACTCGGGTCCTCAAAACAAGATAAATAGATTCATTTAAAATAAATTTGCTTCAAAGTCCCATTTATGAAAGACGCTCAGAATTTATGCACAGCATATGGCATTCAAAAGTATGTTCATATCCTACTCTGTCATCTATTATTGTAAAGCTAAACTTTTCCCCATTGAGTTTTGTCTTAGTAGATTTTGACTCATTATTATGTGCAAAAAAGAAATTGTGGCTAAATTACCCAGTAAGTCAAATAATCAGTTGAACAATGATCAATTTACTGCTATACTCTAAAAAGACAGAAACTGAAATGGGATTTCCATATCATTTAAGAAGGCAAAGATAAGAAGCATGGGATTTACCATTATATAACCATCTCATTCTACGGACTACTGTATATTACAAAATCAATCACAAAAAAATAATGTATCCTATTATAATACTAGAAATCAGATTTTTAAAAACAAAGCAATAGTTTTATATCTTTAAACAGATGCTTACCCTTGGGGGCCCAATAATCATGCCTGTCCATCTTGTAAGTGTCATATCTTCATCGTCTTCAAGACCCCAGCTAACTGTTCCATCTCCTACTCCTTTCTGGCCTTCTTCTAGCTCTTCCAGCAGTCGAAAATTACGAGGAACTTTTACTCCTGGAAATAAATCATATTGGACTTTTGAGATTAGAATTGGCTGTTGGCAAAATAATATTGAATGTCTGGACCCAAGTCTTTGATTAGTGTGCTAAACATCTAAACCAGGGGTAGTCAACCTTGGCTCTTTTATGACTCGTGGACTTCAATTCCCAGAATTCCTGAGCCAGCTTAGCTGGCTCAGGAATTCTGGGAGTTGAAGTCCACGAGTCATAAAAGAGCCAAGGTTGACTACCCCTGATCTAAACAGAATAACAGACTTGGAAGGGACCTTGGAGGTCTTCTGGTCTCAACCCTTTGCTCAAGCAGGAAACCCATTTCAGACAAATGGTTGTCCAATCTCTTCTTTAAAATCTCCAGTGCTGGAGTACCCACAACTTCTGGAGATAAGTCGTTCCACTGATTAATTGTTGTAACTGTCATGATATTTCTCCTTAGTTCTGGATTGTTTCTCTCTTTGGTTAGTTTCCATCCATTGCTACTTGTCCTGCCTTCAGGTGCTTTGGAGAATAGCCTGACTCCCTCTTCTTTGTGGCAACCCCTGAGATACTGGAACAATGCTTATCATGTCATCCATAGTTTACAATTAATAATATAATTCTATGAATCCAAATTAAATCCCACTAAATCGAAAGGACTTGTTTTTGTATATATGAGTAGTTAGAAAACAGTGCTGCAGTTAAAAGAAACTATTAGTTTAAGCATCAAAACACATATTAATAATTAGCAACAATAACTATGTTTGTAATTAGTTTGATAACAATCTGCATCCAAAATTATTCTCTATGGAAGATATCCATTTGATTTTACAGAGAAGTTACAAGACCTTAGAAAAGTATTAAAGAATAATTTGAACAGTGATTTCATCTACAACTCATTTTACGTGGCAAATTAACCATGCCTTTCTGCGGCGAAACTATTATGTCATTGCAAGATGTTATAAAGCAGAACAAGTATCTCTAGAACTAAAGCTGTAAATAAACATAGAAAAATAAATATGGCATGACCATTTTCTTATTATAACAAAAAATTAAAAAGCCATTTGCAGTGTGGAGATATAGATAAATGATGCTATCCATTCATAGATTAGACTTGTCGTAACCAAGATTGGGAAAAAGAAAAAAAAGTATGAGGGGATATATACATATACATATACATACACACACACAAAACACATATATACCGTGTTTTCCCAAAAATAAGACCAGGTCTTATTTATTTATTTTTTTGTCTCCAAAAGAAGCACATCTTATTTTCCGGGGATGTCTTCCTCACCTCCAGCTCTGACAGACCCTCCCAGCAGGTCCACTTCTTCTGGGGCTGAAGGAGCAGCTGTGTTCTGCAGTCAAGCCTTTCCAGAAGGCCTATGCAGCCGAGTACCGAGCTATGGATTCAATCCATAGCTCGGTCCTCAGCTGCAGAGGTCTTGCAGAACCGAGCTATGGATTGAATCTATAGCTCGGTACTTGGCTGCAGTGGCCTTCTGGAAAGGCCTGTGACTGAGAAATGCAGGCCTGGCTGAAGAAGATGCTGCAGAAGAAGTGGGCCAGTGAGGAGAGGCCTGGCTGCAAGGTAAGTGTGCGTGGGGCGCACGGGGCAGATCCACACCCCCACCCTAGCTTGATTTTTAGGTGTGTGCCTCGTCCCAAAACTAGGACTTATTTTTTGGGGTAGGGCTTATATTAGGCCCACCTCCAAAAATCAAGCTAAGGCTCATTTTCGGGGTACGCCTTACTTTCGGGGAAACACACAGACACACACACACATATATACATACACAAACCATCTTCTTTCAATAGGTTACTGTTTTGCTCATTACTATACACTGCTGCACAGAATGGAGCAACACTTCACCAAGTTCACAATCTGTTTTCAAGATGTGTGGCATAACAAAGGCTGCCCTGGTTAGAACTGGGAAGCTGTGGCCAGATATTTGAAAAGCACCAAATGGGAAATGCTGTTATGGACAATATTGTATACTATCCTTGAAAGTTATCACCAACATTGTCTTGGAATGCATATCTAATAAGCATTTCAGCTACTTATTTCATAAGTCTAAGGGAACAGGGAAAAAAATCCCAAAGTGTGATTTTTTTCCCATATGCCTGCTGAATTCCTCCTTCAGTTAAAACAGAACAAGTAATAACCATTCTATATTATTGCTAAGAAAAGTACATGGATATGGCCATAGGATCCCCAGGAGTTGATCTTGACTGAAGGAAAAAAACTATATACATAGGTTGGGAGCTTTAACTGTATCTGCCTATTTTTTTTTCTCTAAAGCATTCACAGGTATAAACAAAATTAAGCATTTGTCAGCCATAAAGTCAATATACTATTGCTAAACAAAGTGTTTGTTTCCAATTACACCTGAAATACCATCTGCTCCCCTTTCTAGAAAAACAAGAACTTAATAAACATTATTTTGTTCCTTGGTAACACCAGCATCAACAACTGTAACCTGAGATCAATGAGTTTAAACTGGAAGAGTCTTTGGGAACTGCAGCTAGTATTTCACATATACTGAGAAGTTCCTGTCTCTTTAAATGCAATACTTATGATTCATCCCATTCATTTTATGTACAGAAATACATGCAGTTAGGACCATTAGGGGCCAAGGGTTTGATGAAACAATACAGGCTTGATGTACTAATCGCAGGGGTAGTCAACCTTGGCTCTTTTATGACTCGTGGACGTCAACTCCCAGAATTCCTGAGCCAGCACAGGAAAGAGCCAAGGTTGACTACCCCTGTACTAATGGAATAGTTGGCAAGGTAGAGTCTGCACATATCTCCAGGAGCAGAAAGTTGCACAAAGGAAAAACTGTCTGAAAGAAGCTCATACCCATGAACCTCATGGGGGGGGGGGGTGTCGGGGACTTTCAACATACCCTCTTTCGATGACATAAGTACAGATTCAATCCTGGCAAGGCACAGCTTGACATATTCCAATGCTGTGTGTTTTAGGACTTTAAAGATAATGACTAGCAATTTGAAACTGACTAGGAAGCCTTAGCACTAGTTGCTTGGGAGCTATTCAAATCACTCTTATGGTAACTGCTGTTGTTTTTCTCAGTGTGGCAATTGCCAAAGGGCCAGAAACAAACTCCTATAATCCAGAATTCTGGCTCAGCTGTTGCTTTCCATATATTGCAAAACTGGTATCAGTAGTGGCTAAGATGCTTCTTTTTTTTCTTCTAGTGACTATGTTGATACCATCCATTTACCTCACCCTCCACTAGTGCACACTTTGCTGTCAAAGGGTATGGTTCATTTGCAGTAATTTTCTGGCAGGTCAGTCAAAGTCAATACCAGCATTATCAGCAGAAAACTTCACACAACCACCTCTCCAATTTCATATTCTCCTCATTTATCAGTATAAGGCTTCTCTCCCATCTTTGATTCTATTCAATTACCACTTTCTAACTCTTCCACCTTCCACTCCAGCAAGTTTCATTTCTCTGCACTTAAATCCCTAAGAAATTACACTTTCTTCAAAGTAAAATCTTGCATTAAAACTGACAATCAAAGCCTGATATTGGAATTGACTAAAATACATATTTAACTTGAAGCCATCTTTCAAAATACATTTTAATTTTTTTTTTAAAAAAAAACACATTTTGAACTGTCCCAATATCTCTCAAAGATGCTGAGATCTTATTGCAACATTTTGGGCTAAAATTTAGGCTCTTCTAAGCAGGCCTCAGATTCCATTTAACTGTCATTCTTTCTTCAGTAAGTGGCTTCTGGTAACTTCAATTTGTTATTTTAATGTACGCTGTGTTAAATTTTACTGCTTTTAAAAATGATATAATTTTGTGATTGTATTGACTTTAAGCATGAGCATTACTCATTATTGAATGGTTCCTAAGTGATGCACAAGCATAAAAAATAAGAGATCAGTAATGTATAAACTGAGGAAGTAGAACCTATGGCCCTCTAGATGTTGCAAACTACTGGAGGGAGTGGGGTGGTGGTTATGAAGTGACAAAATGATTGAGGCACCATAACTTTTCAGAGACTTGGCAAAGCTATTTTGAGAGTCTTTTTATGTCTTTTGAATATTTTCAGAAGATACTTGGGATACACTGCTATTGAAATAACTCAAGGTAGAGAGCATATCCAACACACCTTCCTCCTATTTTTTCCACCAC